CGATCAAATAGGGCCTCGACGGCGCTGTGGTCCTATCTTTACAAGATATGTCCGTATTTCAAACAAGCTACTATAATACTTTTCTAATTTTTCTGCCATCAATACATATTGACAAATGCGATATACATTATATAGTATGTTATACACCACTAAAGTCCTCTAAATAAGTCCATTATACTGATTACTATAACCGTTACTGTTACGTAGTACACTATATATTTGCCAAATCGCACCGTTACACAGACACTTGTATATATTTTTCCTTTAGCAATATACTGAGACTTCCGCTTATCGACACTGTATTATACTATTCTCGCGTCTGGCTGATCCTCCTTGGTACGGGGTGAACCATGGGTCTCGTGTCGTCGCCGAAACCAACTGCTTGACCGTCGGAGATTATCTTCATGTATCTCTCTTCGTATCCACTCTCTGTGACATTTACCATACAGCGGAATCGCATAGTATATTAATGCGGCAATCAGGATAAGACATATCCCCCCCAGGATACAGGTGATGGCGCTGGTATGTTGATACATTTGCTCCAATGATGAAGCGTTGTTACCACCGCTAGCATTTTGTGCGATGATTACAGGTTCTTCCTTAGACTGTTGCTTACCCATTTTTAGCAACAAAATAACCGTTCCCTACACTTCTCAATACGCGATAATATAAAATAACTCATAATTGCGATGTGATTGTGACAATGTTTAATATCACAATACCTCATTAGGCGATCGGAATGCAACGATCGCTTACTTCGACAGGGTCGCCATGTAAGGTTGGATGTCGAGAGAGAAATTAAAGATGTTGTTAGATCAACGATCAGATTTATTCTCCAGTAAATACAATAGTGATCACTACTTTTATCTTAAGATAGACATACGTATTATATATGTATTACTACACTACAGTATCACGAGGACCTTAATGCGTTTGTGCTCAAATTAGAATGATTTCATTTAAGGGAGTATTTAAAGAACATATCAAAGGAATTAGTGAATTTGAGTAGCTTAAACTTACAAAAACTAATAAGTAAAGCATGATAAATTAGATAAAACTTGAAAACTCCCAAACGTTGAAAAAAAATATATTGTTTTAGTATCAATATTTATAGCGGCATATATATTTAAAATTCATTAATTAATGTTTATTTTTTATTATAAGTCCCTTACTACATCAGCAAAGCTTCTAATCAGTTGTTTGCGGCTCGTCGCTCGGTGTCCACTCGTTATCGACAGGTGGTCCGCGGTTGGACGCCGCGTTGTTACCAGTAAACTTCGCGTGGTGATAAATATTATTGTTTTACTTTTTTGAGCTATTCTCCTCCAGTGAAAATAAAATTCACGATAAGTAATTGTTCTAAAATAATAAATGTTGAAATCAAGCTTACGAGACAATGACAAGAATTGAAATATGGGTCATACTCAGAAAAAATGTGCATTTGCCATTTGTTAATAAACTGATAAGTAACGAAATGGAGAATCAATGTGACGAAACTGATATTGTAAAGCAGGGTAAATACTGAACAGAACACGCATAATTAATCTAAATAAAAACATAATATCTCAGAAATCTAAATCAGGCTCATCCTATACCCGACGGTAATAAGTGAATTTTCCAACGATACGAATATATCATTAAGACAAAAGAACCCTAAGCCTTTTTAGTTGTTTAGTTAAGTTAGTGTGATGTAGTGCAGTGAGTGCTACTTTTGAAGAACAAGTACAAAGTGTATTTTCATTGGAGTAGGAACCATAAGAAAAGTACCAATGGACGCACTCTTTAAGTATATTATAATTTTTTAGCTAATAAATTTAAATTACTCATTACGCCTAAAGGCTTGATTGCAATTATTATGGGGGACCATCCAGCTACAAAATAATTTAAAAAAAAACAATTGTATGAATCAGTATGTACGAGTATAATATGCAATTGTAAGTTTAGTAGTAGTTACAAATTAAATAAAATTACAGTTTTCTCGTTAAATCACAAATTATTGTTCAAAACATAAAAATAACTAAGAACAATCATACACATTTCTAAAAAATCAATTACATAATCGGAGTAATATTGTCAAAATTTAATCGGGCCCTTCCATATTTCGAGCAACGAAAGAAAACAAATTGTCAAGAACCGTTAAGACCAAATTGAAAAAAAAAAGCAAGATAGTAATAACAATATTTCTTAAAAATAATAAATCTTTCATAATGAAAATAAGTCTCAAATCTCCATAACAAACAAACTTGTAACAAAAAGATATCAACGTTACGTACCTACTGCTCCATTATTTAAATATTTTGGTAACTGAAGAATCAACTTAATAAAATAATAATATTATTGATTATAATCAAATAAAAATATAAATAAATATAGAATTATAATTAAATAAAAAATATCCTAAATGCTTGACTACTCTGCACAAGTATCCACACAAATAGTAAAATAATAAGTCAATCATATTTTTTTTTTAGTTCAACAGAAATATATTGTTACATTCGGGAATCAAGCCCGTCATTTTCATTGTACCACGATTACACTTCTGTTCCCCTAAATTAATGTAATAAAATTTTAATAGATAATAATATATTTTTTTTAAATTAGAGTAACTTCGTAAACTCAGCTTTACAATTTCTCAGTTTCGTAACATAACGCAATATAACTAAACTGAAGACAAACTCTGTGAAATTATAACCCCGAAAAATAATTCTGTTAGTACCACTTATTGTATACACAATAACTGAATTTATTTGTCTATACATTATTATAAGTAAGACGTGGGCATAAAATAGTACAATTAATCGTATATGCTTATGGAAATTCAAATCGTTTATCACCCTGACAGTATTTTTTTCCAAATGCGAATTCAACACAATGACTCCCGTGTACGGATGAAAACAAAATTACCTCTGTATGAATTATAAAAAGCAGCAACATTGTCAATACTAGGAAAATTATTTCCCGTCAGTTTTGAACAACTGCGTTCAGAATTATACGCACGTAACTAACACTGAGTAACTAAATGTAATAATTTTGGGACAACATTAATTTAGTAAAGGTGTGCTTGAATGGTTTGATATAACTACTCTCGAGCTTGCCGATCCCCAGTTCAACCAATGTAACAAGATTGACATCTTGTTAGGCGCCGATGTCTATAGCCGCATCTTGATACTCTGATCTTGGTACTCTTTCTTTTAGATTAGATGAGATTCGGCTGTAAGTCTCAAAGAGCAATACCATTATTTTGGCATCTTTACGTGAATTAGCGCAACATAACTAAACATTGCCTTTGTGAATTTTAGGGTAGTGCCCTGGAAACCGCCCAACTGAGGATTAGCAGTAGCATTCTTTGTTCAACATCTCCGTAGCTTTTAGTTGCCTGATAGGTATATCAGAAAACTAAAAGCTACGGGGATTTGCTTGTTTTGATTTTGTAGCAATAGAGTCGTCATCATCTATAAAATTTATATAAGTATATAAAAATGTTAAGTAGTTTTGTGTACGCTTTAAACTGAAAAAAAGGTCTGCACCGATTGAGTTTAAGCTTTGACACGGTATACAACAAGCTTCAAAGGTGGTTTTTATCTATTTTTTGGTACCACAATGTGCCACAACGAAGCTATGTCTATGTATGTATTTACAAAAAAAAAGAATGTAAGTATTGTATCAGTCAATCTAGCCTTTATAGTACAAGCTCTGCTTAGTTTAAAACGAGATGGCGTGTGTTAGTTGTCCGAAAGATTAATTATTATTATAGCAAGTATTTTATAAAACAGAATCGGGTAACTAGCCTAATTCTATTTGATCACGACGAAGGCCATTTAAATTTGAATAAGATATTTGGACCATGCTCTTTGTTGGGTCTCAACATAACTCTGGAGCCTATACTCAGTTTCAATACGTGCCTATACTCAGTTTAATCAAACCACCACAGTTATTCGCATCAGCAGGAATAACATTTGAAGGTGGTCGTCTTCAGTAGGTTGCTACCTTTCGCGACTTGTATGAAGTAGTTCAATCTACTACGTACCTAAGATTATTTACACTAAAAATGAAAAAAGTTAAAAATTAAAAAAAGATTAAGCTAATTAAAAAAACATCAAACAAAAACTCCCTACCTAAAAACATTAAAAACCGTTAAATAAACTGAATTATTTATATTATTAAAAAAAGTGCTACTTTTTCTAACTAATTAAATTAAACTTTACCTTTTAACTATGACTTACCTATTCTCAACTCTACATAGAAATATGACATGGTATATATCTGAACTAATATTATAAAGCTGAAGAGTTTGTTTGTTTGTTTGTTAGTTTGTTTGTTTGAAAGCGCTAATCTCAGGAACTACTGGTCCGATTTGAAAAATTCTTTCAGTGTTAGATAGCCCATTTATCGAGGAAGGCTATAGGCTATATATCATCACGCTAAGACCAATAGGAGCGGAGCACCAATGAAGAATGTTTCAAAAACGGAGAAAAATTATCACTATTGAGAGATGCAGACGAAGTTGCGCGGGTCAGCTAGTAGGATATAATATCACAAAGCGAAAGTGATTTCGTTCCGACCGGGGGTCCATAGAACCTCACGCGGTTTTATTGTTAAATTATGATACAATTAGATACTAGTCTTTTATTGTCACTATAACGTAAGGGAAACATTGCACTACTATTACTACACAAAGCAAACGAGATGATTTAATGAGCATTTTAAAAGGAATCAAGGCTGAAGTATTTTAGAGTAAGTAATTACTGCAATTTCAGATACAAGTCGGTCTATGACGCATTACTCTGCTTGTTTTGGAATCAAGATGTCATAATTTAAGTAAATACTTAAACAACAAACATTTCATCAAACCCTTATATTTACGTTATCATTAATAATTTTTTTAACGGACAAGGTTGTTTTTTTTGTACTAAGTAAACATCGACGCTGCTGTATAAATATGAATTTGACTGATTGTCTAACGTTAAATCCAGTATATTTATAGTTGCGGTACCGGCGTTATGAACTTCTTAAATAAATTAGTTCTAATAGTATTATTAATTGGACTATCGCCTACTATATTTGGGACTGACGCACTAAGTAAGTACGAGTAACTATTTTGATATTTACTGTTCAATGTTAGGTACTACAGTACGATTAATTATCTATTTACTAAAGAGATACCTACATATTAGAAGTGGGAGTAATGTAAACTTAATGGATGTAAATCCGATAGTTCTTAGGACTTAATATTGCCTAAAATTATTTTACTTGAACGCTTTTAGTGAATGTGTTAGTGATGTGTATCATGTGTTATAAATTTAATGAGTTAGCCAGATTATCTGTCAAGGTTCTATTAAATTTGGTAAATTGCTGATACGTTTTCCCACTCCTCATTCACAATATCAATGGGATAACATAGTACAAGTGAAAGATTATTATTTATGAACTATAAATAATAATCTTTAACATAAATTAACGTACAATATTCCCATCATAATGATAAAAAATAAACGACTTTTTTATTTAAATGAAGCTGAGCTTAACGTAGGCACAAAGAATGACCCTTTCCTTCCCGCTGACGCAGGTGCTTTCCGGGCACGGTTGCTTCGGAAAGTACCTGCACTCGGTCGCTAGGAGGGAACTGAGTATCGCCTGCCACCACTGCGACTGCAGTGAGGACTCGGCCCAGCACACGCTGGCGGTCTGCCCCGCATGGGCGACGCAGCGCCGGGCCCTCACTGCAGTCATCGGAGCAGATCTCTCGCTACCGGCCGTAATTCGCTCCATGGCCGGTAGTGACAGTTGTTTTAATGGGTCGCAACCTTCTGCGAGGAGGTAATCTCGCAGAAGGAAGCGGCGGAGAAGGCCCGGGAGGACGACCTCCACTCGGACCTGATCCGCCGCCGGCGAACCGGGCTTCGGAGGCGCGCTTACCTGCGCTTCATGCCGCCCTGAGTGTGGCCGCGGGTGGACGGGGTGGGTTTCCCCTCCACCCGCATTAGTTTGGCCAGCCGCGAGGGGGCGGCGTCCGCGTGTGCCGGACGTCGCCTAAAGAGAGGAAAATTTTGAGACGGGGCCCGCAATAGGAGCGGGCCGGCGCTAGGAGGGGTCCAGAAGGCGATAACTACCTGGACCCCTCCTAAACTGGAAGCGCATAGAGGGCACACCGTGTGGTTTTAGTCGGTTCGAGTCCGACACACCACCCCGCCGCAAACCCCGGTGGGGTGACGGTCCGAGGGGATTTCCACACGTTAAAAAAAAAATAATAATAATAAAAAAAAATAAAAAAAAGGCACAAAGAATAAGAACGAACGATAACTTAAAACTTGATCTAGATTGCAAGTGATTATAGTAATAGTTTAACACATCTCACACACTGCCGTCTGCTTCCAAACTAGGCGGAGCCTGTACTATGGTAACCAGACACTGCTGATAAACATACTTATATAATTCTAAATACATACATTATATCAAACATAAATTACACCCAGACACAACAAATCATCACAGAATTATTTGTACTGGGTGGAAATCAAACCCACGACCCCCAGCTTAGCAGTCAGGGTCACTAAAAACTAGACCAAAAGGCCCGTGGTATTGATTCCATAATTTGGAATGCGATCCCTCATCTTTGTGCCACAGACCCAGGTATCTGAGCCTAATGTTTGCCATGGCTGCCTCCTGCTGTATGAACAAGTCCAGTGGGGGCAGACCAAGAGCCACATCTAGTGCGACAGTTGGCGGTGTGCGCATACAGCTAGTGACGAGAGCTAAAGCATGAGAGTCGCTGGAATTGCTGCAATTTATTTATTATATGACGGTGGTAAGCTCTGTTCTCTGCCTGGTGGCAATGGCACCGTACGTGATTATTGGTCGTATGACTGTTCTGTAAAACCTTAGTGTAATCTTTGGTGTTAGTCCCCTGCTTTTGCCGATGCATTGGTAGCATGTGATAGTGTAGCCGAATAGCCGTTTGCATTGGCAGAAGACAATACAGGCATTGTTTAGTTTCTCTTCGAGGTCCCTATTCCACAAGAGTTTACTGTCTATTATTACTCCTCGGTATTTTGGACCTCTTTGGTTGGTTGGGTTTTAAATAGTGTGGGAAGTCTGAGATTTCCTAGACTACGTTTGTTTGTGAACATGATCAGGATCATACAATACGTGGCTGCAAATGAGTGTAAACTACACCCATCCACCTATATATTATTTATAAGTAGGTATACTAAATACAGTCTTCCAAAATTCATTATAAATTCGTACACAGACTTGCAAGCCGTTACGTACGACACAGCGGTACGTCAATACAGAGCTTTTAGATTTGCACGATAGAGCAACAAAATTCGCATCTTGATATACGGAATAATTCGTGGAAGTTAACAGACTGTTTTAGTAGATTAGATCATGACGGTTTTTTCTCTTAAATTATTTTTAAAATTTAATAATAGCTTCTTCTTCTGCTAAATCACCACTATTATTTATATATTGTCACTGACATTGAGCGAAACACATTGTTGATTGATTGTTGCTGTTTGAAAACTATAGTTATATAGTTTTTTATCATTGCCTACATCAAATAAACTTTACATCAACAGCCCCTTCTTGCCTAGAAGACCAAGTGCTGGAATTACTTAGAAAATGGCAGCAAGGCGATTTGCTCACGATGCCACTGCCTTCTTTAGGAACAATAAGACTGCAGTCCTACGAGGGACAATATACAGGTTACGGAATAAAGTAAGTATGACTCCTCTACCTACGAATAACAAAGAATCCATTAATCTTGGCTGCCATTGAGTACGTATTAAGTGATGGTCCAAACTGCGCTAGATGAAGATCGAAGATTGTTTGTCCATTTGTATTTAATCTATATAAAGTAGAAATGACGACGAGGACGAAGTTGCACTATCCTTTCATTAACAGGCTTTGACAGATTTCATAAGTCTCTCAGGCTGTGAGCGAGAAAGAGAGGCTCTTATGAGAGTTATCAAGCAATTTTAAACTCATTGACTCAAGCAGAACCGACGATCAAGTTGATCTTTTAGCAAAGGTGGTATCGTCGATCTATCGATCATGAACAGATCATGCTTCAAAGTAGCTAGTACTATGTGTATTATTATTTGTATACGTTTATATTTTCAATCAATCAATCATTTATTTAATAAAACCGGTAAATTCAGAATATTTAAAAAGATCGCCATGTTTCGCCAGTAGGCATACAAAACAATAAAAGTAATTAATTATTCCTGTAACAATACAACTGTTTAAAGTCATGTAATCACATACATTCAATTCAATAAAAATCGACGTTGATTTGTTTTCTTAATAAAAGAATATATTGATAAATGACGATTTTATCTATTATTGACAACTTCTAGTATATTTGGATTCACCGTTATGAGCTGAGGATTTAGCAAAATGTTCCGATATTTGTACAATAACTAAATTTAGATTATCTGGTTTATTTAAACCTTATCTTTTTTATTCAGAATTGCCTACACTACTGGTAATATGAACATGACGGGCCTCAGAAACTTTAAAGTGAAGGAACTTTCGGCCTCTACAGACGACTTGTTTGAAGCATCGGGTGCAATTAGTATACCTTCTTTGACTCTGAATTCAGGTAAGTATTCTATAAATTAACTCACTTTTAAAAACGTATCACTGACTTACTACGCGCCTGCATCAACTTTTTTCTTCATATCTCAATTTTCGAATTTTAGGCACATTTTATATTTAAATTTGAACGAGAGCAAACGGAAAGTATACCCTACATAATAAAAAAACATTTTTATTAAATCATTTCTTAAATTACGAAATGGAGTTGAGAACAGAGAGAGAGAGAGAGAGAGAAAGACTTGACATATACCAGAGATGACATAAAATCACAATAAACTGTGATAAATCACATGATTTATAAATCCTACATCACACGTGTGACTGAATCACAAAACCAAGACTCGTGAAAACTCTAAATCTAAAAAAGGGGTCGTAATCTTTCAAAAAAAGGATTTTGGTGGATTTTAATGCCATTTGGACCTACTTATGCAAAACGGAAGCAACCCACACACTAAACGTTTTGAGAAAAAGCCTTTTTTGTCTAAATATTTTATACCAAAAAATTGTGTGCTATTTTGGCAAAACTTTAGTTGCAATATTATATAAAATACTTTATTTTACATACATGACTATAATATATGAAAATAATGTAGCATTGTGTAGTAATAAAAAAAAAAAACTTAATGGTTCCTTTTAGCAAAACTAAACCCTACTAGATCACCTCTATGTCTGCACTTCTGAAAAGTTTTACATAAAAAGCATGTGAAGCTTGCGGAATGAGGTATAGCCTACTTTGTAAGTCATTTAATTTAGCTTGAGGGACAGTTTTCCCTGTTGGTCAAAGAAGTTTTGTTAAAACATATGGGCTATATAGCCTATGGAGATCCGCGAACATATTTTTATGTCATCCGCCATAAAATCTTCTTTCAAATTTCTTTTCATGTAAATCTTGAACATTTTATCATTTTTATCATATTTTCTTTAGTATGGTCTGAGCCATGGAACTTCCTCTACATCTATCGTTGTCTACCATTTAATTATATTCTTTTCTGTCTTTAGCAATAACAAGAAATCTTCATTTTTCATCCTATGTAATACATGCATTCGATTTGTTTCCTTACAGGTTTCCATAATGGTAGAGTCGGTGTATAGAGCCTCCGTTGACGGTTTACATACCGTCGTTACATATACTATGTTACATTCAATATTCGCGAAGTCTCACCATTCATTCATCCATTTCAAATTTATTATACAACACAGATTCAAACGACAATATCTTAAATGTTGTAAATAGAATAATTTTAACAACGAACTTTTTATCAAGGATCTTGTTAGTTTATTGAACTATTGGTTTAATGTGAGTTGATAAACTTGTCATGAAAATGTTTTGTTCTATCAAAGTTGTCGGCTCATTTTGATTCTTAGAGGGTCGATAGAAAGTACATTTTTAAAAGGTTTCTGCATACTTAACTCGATTTTGGCAGGTGTGTATATTGGTTCCTTTTTGAATAAGTAGGTCCATTTATCTTTGTCTATGACGAAATCACAATCACATGTGAAATCGCTAACTAAAACCAATAATTTCATCAAATGAATATGATTTAAAAATAGCTCTAACTTCTATGTCTAGCATGTACACAAGTTGCTAGTGCCAATATGTCCCATGTCAATGAAATCTAATTATATGTCTTTAATAAACTTGTTCGTCACGTGTTGTGCTATTCAAAATAGAATTTTCATCTAGTAATTCATCAATAGTGTTTGTGCTGCATTGTGTTTTATTAATTTGTTTTGATAAATAATGCATCGTGAGTGCAATTAAAACTGAATGCGATTAAAAATTCCACTAATAAGTAATGTAAAGATGCAAGCATTAAAATCAAATGTAGGTATGGCACCTACATGCATACTTAGATTTACGATTTTAGTTCTTGTAATAAGGTTAACTAGGTAGTTAAGTTTTATCTAAATGAAGTAACTTACATACATACCTGTTTGTTTTCCTTTCCAGATAACTACAATTTAAAGGGGAATGCTTATGTTTTTTACTCTTTGAAAGGAGCAGGATTTATGAAGTAACTATTATTTTAATTATAAACAATAGACTATATATTAAAGTTAAGTTTGTTTTAACACCTATTACATTTTACTAATTAGGTGATAAAATAAATCTATGTAGAGAAAATATTCAGAAGTACATTTTACTTATTATATTAATGTAGTTAGGAATATTGCCGCTACTTTAAAATTCAAATAGCAATGAGTAGATCAGTTAGATCATTAATGACTCTTAATATGAATAACATTCTATAAAATCTTGACAGTGGAAATTAATTGAATGCAAAATGCAATAATATTAACAGGTTTATGTGTAAAAAATACTAATAGTTAGTCCACTCCTTCGAAAGACTGTTATATACCTACCTACCAGACTGTCACGACTATAAATGTGCAAGGGTTGTCACAAAAACGATCACGATCGTAGGTAGATAGGAAAAAATAGTATTTGCCTAATTTAACTATATTTTACCAATATAGGAGTATCTCGGGCGCCAATTCCGTTTAAAATATTGGATAAAAGGTTGAATAAATTGTATAAAACAGGTTAAAAATCATACTTACATTGAAGAATTTTTTTTTATGGTTATATGTCATATAATAAATATTAATAATAAATGTATATAATTCATATACTTATAATTAAAGCAGTAATTTAAGTATACTTGTAATTTTATGGAAATGTATTTTAAACCACCAAATACATCGAAAGTTTTATTATACGCTCTTTCTCTTATAGTACAAGGAAAATAAAGAGAAAAATTACGACTGTGAGTTAATCAAATAATACAAATTTTGCGAATAATCTTGTCTTGCACAAAACGCGTGCAACTGATGTACGTGACAATCCTAAACGGTTAGCAAGCGAAGCCGGCCGATACTACCACGGTACAATTATAATACAGTACTGTAACTCGGCCGCATGATAGAAATAAATGCCTACAGCCGCGCGGTACGTAAACATGCGTTAGGGCTGCCCGTCTCCAGTATTTTAATTATATTTGCCTACTTTCTGTTTCTATTTAGATTTGTGATTGTAAATATCCTTTTTTTATATAAATAAATGAAATACTTTGTATATTGAATAGGAAGTGTTCAATAAAAATGCGTGTTGTTTTTTGATTGGTAGATTTAATTAAAAAAACATGTTTTTGTTTGAAAAACAAATCGGGCTTATAAATTTGCGACCGAAAAAAATCCTTCTATAAAATAAAATAAATGTGCTTTCTCCTTACGCGTTACAAAACTCCAATCCTTAGAAACTCCAACACCTACCTACTCAACTAGAATGCAAGAAACAGCTGACGAGTAAGTAACTTTTTATCTCAGCTTATTAACGTCTCTATAAATTAGGTACCTACCTACAACTCGCAACTACTCAAAACAAAAATTCTTTGGTCACCAATTAATTAATTATTAAAAAGCTGAACAGCTGACTACGAATGTTTTAAAATCACAACCTATCTCTAGCTGTTGTTGTTAATACCGAGAAAATAAAACCAGTTTTTAGTTTTATACGTTGTTATAGTAGCAGCAGAAACACCTTGTGAAAATTTCGAAAACTGTCTAATGACACACAGACGGTAAAAAATTTTTTTTGTATTATTCATACACACAGATAATAAACCAATATTATTAATAATAAAATACCACGTCTTTACTTTGAATTATGCAAAGTAACAAATCACACATGCACCCATTGAGTTAAAACAACACTAGAGAAGCAAACCTCATTATCACACGTCGAAAAAAGTGTAACCACTTTTGAACTTTGACGACGTAGCTTTGATACCACTAAACATTTGAAAGTAAACATATTTATGTCTCATTTACACGCGAGACAAGAACAATACCATCGCTCGGATTACACAAAGACAAAGACATAACCTTACGATGGTGGGCCAGTGTTGACTACCGTATGAAATTTTACCGATAACAACCAAGAAACAATTTTTTTTTTAAACAATTTTGTAATAAAATAAATTAATTTAAATATTTTAAATAATATATATCGAATTGAATGGAATAGGTATAAATAATAAAATAACTGGAAATATTTGGTTAAAAGGGTTTATATTCAGTGCAAAATCAAACTCCGCTATGAAGCATCAGTTTTATATACAATTGTCTTTTTGACTCTTATAAGTTCGTGTGGATATTTTACTTTCATGATACAATCTTATTTTTACCTATGTATAAATAATGGCATTTAATAATAAAAGTGAATGATCAACTTGTACCGATAATAAATAATCCCCAGGGTGTATTGCAAATTCTTTTAATATTTTAAAATACAAATAAAAAATATAGATATATAAATATATATATAAATATTTTTCTTTTTTATATTTTTTTTATTATATTTATTTACTTTTTTATTTTATATATATATTTTTTTTGTACAATTATTATTTATAATTGATAATTAATTAAGAAAAATGAATGAATGAATGAATTAATTATTTTGTACAAAAGTCTCCAGCACTGCGAGCTTGGCAGAAGGTGAACGTTCAACGGGTCCCTAAAAAAAGTGATCGGTCCAGCCCTAACAATTACCGTTCTTCCTATATTTTATTATTATTGGCAAAATGTTTAAAAACAGTCTAAAGCATATTATTTCATAAATTATAAATTCTCCCACTAATGTGGGAAAACCAAAATGTTTTTTTAATGGTAACACTGATTCTAAATTACAATTATCAATGTTTTATTTCAATTATAGCCTTATTTACGATATTATCAATACAAAAACCATAAACTTACACGTGATAAGTAATTCCGCATGATTTATTATAGTTTTGTGACCTTGAATCGCATTCTTTCACTACGCATTTACCCATTTTGGCGATTGTTACTGTCATGTGTCGCTATGTTCAACTCGGTTGACGCCATATTGAACACTGAATTGACGTTTGCTACGCATATGCCTGTGGACAGATGTGCAGTGGCAACGACTTTAGGCGGTAATTACTCATCTATGTAAGTATTATATCAATGCATGCACCGAAGTTTTAATACAAGCGTAAGTAGGTAGGTACCTACCGTATCATGATTCATTCAGAACCGCATATAACTCCCTATTTCACTCGTCTCAATAACTTTCCGTTACTCTATTTGCTTTATTTATTCATCCAAACACCTTTTTTTTCGTGAGATAAAAGGAAATACTTATCCATTAAAAAGACCAGATTATGTACCTACCTACTAGTAAGTAAAATTATTTTATAGTCTTACCTTTTATTGACGAATTCATACAACCAAAAACAGCACAATATTTCCTACTCGTCATATTAACTGATTTTTAGAGAAAATATCGCGCGGTTATTGTTAAAAAAACAACACAGTCCGTTCGACACTGCGGTACAGCCGTGACTGTCTGCGCCCCGAGCGCACCCCGAGATCGAGGCGCGTAGGTATAGCTCGCGTTTCGTCCGTTTGTATGAAGTTGGAGTACTGTATTATAATAGTACCGTGATACTACCGTAGACGTCGCGGGCAGGAGGGGGACTCCGCTCTCCTTTATACTTCGCCCCAGCGTTGCTCCAGTAAGCAGCTACTACTACTCCACTAATAGTGAGTTGACTCACTATTAGTATTTATTACACATATGATATTATCATTAATCAATTTATTATTATTTTTGTGTGTCTCATGACGTCAGATGACATTGAATTGTAAGTATTGCGAACTATCGGTGGTCGATCCCTGTCAGCAAGGATATCTTTTCTAACTCCGTTTCCAGGGCCCTGTTTTATAAAGCTGGCATTTCGACAAAATTGTAGAATTGTCGCGATTAGGCTGTTTAAGTGACAACAAAGTCAAAAATCAACACGTAAAATTTTCACATATTTATCATTTAAGTAAAAACGCTTTTATAAACGCGGGTTTTGATACCAATATTAACCAGGGACGTGAAAGCCCTTGTGGTGTCTTTCATAACTGTTTGAGGTAAGTGACAAAGCAAGTATTAGAGAGTATTATTAAATTAATATTAATATTCATTTGAATACCCATGTATGCTTGTGCATGAGTGTGTATCAGTGTGTGTGCGTAGGTATGTTGTATGTGTAAAAGAGAGTAAGAGTGTGCGTGCGCATATTGGTTGTATGTGTTTTGATGAAAGAGGGAGTGTTATTTTACGAGTTACGAGATTACTCAATATGTGTAAGTAGCTCTTCTGTCCTTTAATAGTCGAGTTGTTGTAGCCACGCAGTCACTCTGTTTTTTACTTCATGTCCATTTATATGAAACTTCGATTGCTTGGTTTGATCTTATCATTTTGGGCCTTATTTATGAAAATAATATATATCTATCTCTTTGGAAAGTTTAGTGACCAATTGACCCACAATATAAAAATGAAAAAAATGGAAGGAAATAGCCGAACAATTAACAGAATTAGATATTTTCAATAAAGATTGGAGATACCTTCGTGACACTAGATGGCAAAATTGACGCAAAAGGTCCATGGTAAAGTTTAGTTCATTTTAAATAGTTTATACGTCATCAATTCGTATTTTTTTTTTGTTTACACTGTTAAGCAACTTTTAATAAAGAAGGATAATCTTTAAAGTGATGCTGTCCTTTGAATTTGTATTGGTGTATTAGGTGTCATAAGCCACTTTTTAAACTATATCCACTGTCTCCCATGATTAATGCGTTTGGGAATAGTCTCCATCCATTTTCCCATGTCTGTGCTAAAGAAGAGCATCTCATCACTCTGGCATCATGAACAGAACTAGGCCATCTTGCAAATGCGTAGAAAATTTCTAAGCTTGTCCTGCATACCACCGTGGTATATACAACCTGCATGGTTTCCGTTTCTATCAACAAATTAACGAACTGTCCATAATAATAGATATTCTAGGTTTCCAATTATGCCTCATGAAAAGGGTTGGTATTCGTAAATAAACATTGTTTCATTGAAGGAGAAATTGTTTCTGCTTTTAAAGGATCCTTTTTGCTCCCTCGTTTGTATTTGTTTCAAGTATTCATCATCACTACTCTCACTGCTCGGTATAAGTACCATTTTTTTTTTTTTAAAACTTTTAAAAACACACCTTCAAAATTCGAAATATGATCCCGCGACAGATTATGGTAACGTTCCTGTCAGAATTGTCGGACAACTCTATAAATATGTCAATATATCATGACAGTTTAATATAGCAGATTTGATAAGTTTTTCACGACCATTGTCATCTGTCGCTCAAAAAGTTTAAAAAAAAATTTTCATCGATATTTGTCAATTTTCCACCATGATAATTTTATCGCCTGTAAGTTTTATAAACAGAAAAATTGTCGAATTGACACTATTTGACATATGTCAGACTTGTCGAATTGACACTATTTGACATATGTTAGACTTGTCGGATTGTCAGCTTTATAAAACAGGGCCCAGACCTATTTCTAGTTATATCTGATCTAGGATAGGAAGTGTGTGTATGTATGTACCTACTACTTACTGGAAATCCTCAGAGTTTTGAAATGCGTTCTTAATATTTTTCAGTGTCACTTTCGAGAATGTCAGTTTGACTTTCTCAATCAGTTTGGCCCATAATGCGAATAAAAAAGACAGAGGCATAGAAATTGATGACATCCAGCTCAACTACAGCGTGGACGCTATACGTGTAAGTATTTTTTTACATTATTATTTATTAAAGCAACAAGTAAGCAAGTTTCAATACTTAAAAATATTGTTAAGCTGGATTCACACTGGAAAAAAAAGTTCCTCAAAAAAGTCCATCATTCGTGACCTCGCCGGTCAGGATATATGGACTTTATCACAAAGTAAGAAAAAATGCTGCGAGTTAAACGACACCTTAATATTCGACTTCAGTTCGACAAACTTGTTTGCACTTTCTTCTCATGAGACTCAACCCCTTGGAAATGGATGATCGGCACAGGCATTTATACTTAAGAGATTTACGTGTATAATGTGTACCTATATTTAATTTGCTAAATATTTGATAAAACATAGATTGTTGCTATTGTGTGTGTTGATCTATGAGTCGTACAGTACACAAGGGACGATTTCAATTTTTTTATTTTTTTATGTCATAATGTTTTGTTTCATTTTTTTTTTAAATACCGTTAGGAATATATATATAATATATTTTTATATACCGTTAGGAATATATTCTGTGTCACGGGGGACTCCAAGAGCAGCAACGCACTAGTGACTTTTAAGTTGCAGGTGTCCATGGGCGGCGGTAGTTGCTTACCATCAGTTGATCCGTCTGCTCGTTTGCCCCCTTATACAATAAAAAAACATACATGATACGGACACAAAGAACACCCACACTCAGAACAACAATTTGTGGATCAGCGTCGTCCCATGTGGGGTTTGAACCCACGACACTCGGTGTAGTAGGAAGCGGCGTGGCGACCGCTTAAACCACTACGCCATCCGTAGAAGTCAAAGTTTGAGTTCGCGTTAAATTTTTATCATTTTAATTAATTTTCTTTGAATTTTTTTGAACATCAAAGGTTTATCCGTTAGAACAAAAACAAAATCTGTTCAAATTAGACATCGAATATGTTGCTAATTTTCAATAACATTCATATGATGAAATGATTTGTTTAAGGCATAGCGATTTCACATGTGATTGTGATTTGGACATAGACATAGATAAATGTCTTTAAAATGAATCAAAATTCTTTTTATCAAAGATTACGACCTCTTTTTCAGATTTTAGAACATTAATGAGTCAGGCGCTAGCATAATAATAAGTCGCAGTGGTATTAGAACATTGTCACAGGTGTGACATGATATATAAATCATATAATTTATCACTGGTGATTGTGATTTTATTCCATCCCTAGTTCAAATATATGTATATTTAGGTATATGGTTAGCTAAGGCACTTTAAGGTAGTTAGGTTAGGTTTAAAATCGCTTATATACAATATTTTCTGCAAACAGGTTAACCTAGAAAACTGCTCGTGGCCTGTCAACAAGGTATTGAACGCTGAAGCTAAAAGTATCAACGAGAATTACCGCAGCTTATTGGTTAACGCGGCCACCGAAGGACTGAAGAAGTCATTAAATTCTTACCTTATTACAGTACCACCAACAGCCCTTACATATGCATTTTGTAATATTTGTAATAAAAAATGTTAAAATAGAGGATTACCAGATGAATGGATACCAAATGCCTTTAATATATACCAAATAAAATTAAATACACGACAGTGTTTTCTGTATCGAATTGTGGTTTAGTAGTTTTTCAAAATATTAATTAAATTCAACCTTCGATTGTATCGTTTGATATATTTGAAAGACGCCTACAACTGATCAGGGCCTCAATTCTGCTATTTTATGTTCACGCCAAGCCACTGTCATACCACTGACACGCTATTGAGATGCCATCGAGTGGCCATTGGCATCGGTATAAATCTCAATAGCGTGTCAGTGGTATGACAGTGGCTTGGCGCGAACATAAAATAGCAGAATTGAGGTCCTGGGGGCACGGTAGTGCCGTCGACCAGACAAGCCAAGCGAAGCGCAAGGGCAGCATCTATCTTTTCTCTAGGCGCTTCGTCGTTATTTTGAACACTTATAACAAAATTAGCACAAACAACTTTGGAACAACTTACAAAAAGAAGTGAAATCCCGGAAGTGAAATTGTCGAGCCACAGATTTTGAAACAGGTGTAGAGTTTGCGAAGGCGTTGTAGGTTTGGCTTGGAAGGTTAGGGCATGTAGAGGTCCAATTCTACGAGGTGAGACCCGATATGTCGGACGCCCAATTCGGTTTTCGAGCCGGGCGTTCGACGGTCGGCGCTGGGCTGCGCCTGAGGGCCGTGACCGATGAAGCGGTGCTGTAGGCGGGTTCATTGGACATCGCCAATGCATTTAATAGTCTGCCATTCAGCTGAATCAGCTGCATCATCAAGCACTCCGCTATCATAGGGTGCCAGAGTATCTGAGGCGGCTAGTGGCAGACTATTTAGAGGAGCGTACCGTCGTGTACGAGGACCGAGATTCTAATCTGAGGTGTCGGCCGGAGGGCTTTTCTTGGACCTCTCCTGTGGAACATAGGGTACGACTGGGCCCTTCGAGCTGATTTTCTCTCCGGGTTGGGTGTAATTTGTTACGCCGATAATACTTTAGTCACGGCCCCGGGGGCGAACTTTCAATAGGCGGCGTGCCTGGTTGGGCTCATTGAGGCGCTGAGCTTACGGGTGGGTAAGTCGGAGGCCCTTTTATTCCATGGACCCCTGGCGCTTCTATCGTTGTCAAATCGGTCCTCGTACCGGTCCAGGCCCAGATAAAGTATCAGGGCTTGATCCTCGACGGGAGATGGCTCTTCGACGAGTACTTCCGACAGCTAACTTCAAAGGTGGTGGGTACTGCGTCTGCCCTTGGGCGACTTTTGCCTAATCTGGGTGGACCCAGCGTCGCGACGAGACGGCTGTACACGGGGGTTGTCCGGTCAGTGGCACTGTATGGTGCACCAGTGTGGGTGGTGGCTCTGACCGCCCAGAATAGGGCGCCCTCCGAGGGTATTGGTGGTTAGAGCCAGGCGGTTAGAGTTGTTGTTGAGCCGCACCGTGTTGTTGTACGTTGGCCGGAACTCCCCCGTGGGAATTGGAGGCGGAAGTGCTCGCCAAAGTATATCGGCGGACGACTGAGTTCCGGGCGGTTAGCGGCAGTTGGCCCCCGCCCGAAGAAGTACGCGAGTGGCGTGAGGCCGCTCGTCGAGTTACGAGGGCTAGTTGGTCGTCCCGGCTGGAGGCTCCACGTGCTGGTTTTGCCATCGTGGAGACGCTCCAGCCGGTCATAGTTAAGTGGGCAGTGCTACAGCACGGGACCCTTTCCTTCCGACTGACGCAGGTCCTTTCCGGGCACCTGCGTATTGGGAATTGAGTCCCGCCTGTCACCACTGCGATTGCATACGCTGGCAATTTGCCCGGCTTGGGCGTCGCAGGATCGGGTCGCGTCCTTCTGCGAAGACCTCATCTCGCAGAAGGAGGCGGCGGAGAGGGCCCGGGAGGATGTTCTCCACTTGGACCCAATCCGACGAACCGGGCGGCGGAGGCGCGCGTACCAGCGCCTCATGCCACCCTCAGTGTGACAGTGCCAGTCTAAATGGAGAATGTACCCAAAGATGGCCATTGCGGGCAGGCGCTAGGAGGGGTCCGGGTGTCTTAATTATAGCAGTTCCCGGATCTCTCGTTTTACAGGCGCAGAGTGGCACACCGTGTGTTTTTAGTCGTGGCACACCGTGTGGTTTTAGTGTGTCGGTCTGGGGTTTCCGGCGTGGTGTGTCGGCGACACCGGAAACCTCGGTTTAGTGACGGCCCGAGGGGGTTTCCACACGTGAAAAAAAAATGTATATAGTTACAATATTGGCTCATTGGCTATACAATACATACGATCTTGGTAATCTTTTGACAGTGCTAGCATATGGTCTCGTCTTGGCAAAATTTTATATGAAAATGTTTTTGGTGAGATAAAAACTATTTCAATAATTTATTGAAATGAGATGCTTACTTATGGTTTGAAATTAAATTCAGGCCTTTATTTTCTATGCAAAGGTTTACAATGCTAGACAAAAACATCGCTGTTTTTGATCTGTATTTTGTTGTGTAAATGCACATGTAAGTAGGCAATTTTAAATGTTAATTAGGTGTTATCAATTATTTATTAAAGACGAAATTACAATACTTTTTTATTTCCGCTTGGTAACTAATTAAAATAGATTCTTTGTATATCCATATATTCCGAGTCGGACCAACTGTTTGTATGATCTGCAAATGTTCCTTTCGGAGTTTGGGTGTTTTCTATGTATAATATACAGCCTATCACTTATGTTTTCTCGAAGCTGTAAACAGCACATCATTTCTAGACGATTTGCAAAATATGAACATAAAATATTCAGTGGTTTAGAAACAGGTCATTTTTTTTGTTTTCGTAATTTGTAACATCATGTGTACATGCAGTCATAATACATTGACCTCAGGCGGCGATCAGCTGTATACGCGGCGCGGTAATCACACGTTGCCGCTGTTACTACACTCGAATCGAACGAAATATTTTGATTATTGCGTCATCACGATGAAGGACACACGTTTTTAATTAGTTCATCCAGTAAGGACAGTCAGTCGGCCCTTGGCCACCGGCGAGTGTAATGCTATTCTTTTTGACGTGACAACGTCTTATAATTCGATAGAGCCGGCTGCACGCACGAAAAAACATGACTCATGCGGCGTTACCTCGCTCTGAGGCGTTCCATTTAAGGCGTGAAGTGCAAGCGAGAGCGCGGAACGAGTGACAAAGAGGCACAATCGGCCTCCGCGTTCGGCAGCGTTCGACATCTGTCTCTCTCCTACTTGAGTGAGCGATGCGTCCGCGTGGACAGCTGCTACTCTCATACAATAATACGAGTACATTTTTGAAAAAATGCAACCATTCCATCAGTGTTTTCTTATGACGTTGTCAACTATCGTTCAACTATCGTCAGTAAACCGACTTAATTTACAGACAACCGATTTTTTTGCCTTGTAGATGCGCTCACGACAAATAACCGTAATAATAATATTGTTGTTGTTCATGAATACATATTTGTTTAGAAAAGTTTTCTTGTGGTAATAATTGTTTAGTCTCATTGCTTATGTCATAATACACGGCAATGGTGTGAACAATTAATGTTATCGTGTGCGCAATACTTCGTAATGTAACGAGTCCTGCTAATTTTATTTTGAAAAGTGACAATATTAGGTTCTGTGTGTAGTGTAGTGTGAAACTGAGTGAATTATCAGTCTTTTAACTTTATTGGGTTAACGGTATCAACATCCATAATGCCGTGAGTGACCTTGACAGCCGCGGAATATCCTGCCATGATGTTAATTTATGGGAAACTCTATCAAAACTCATCTTTTACTTTACGGACAGGTATGGAGTCGATCGTGTATGTCCTACAGACTGCCGAATTTTTGTAACGGCGGTACAAAGATTACGAGACAACCAAAGTACCGAAGCTAGTCTAGCATTCTCAAAATAAACACGTGAATAAAATTGTATTCTTAATTAGATTAGATTTAAAAAAGTCAGTGAAGTGATTAGTAGGTAGGTAATAAGAATGTAAAGTTCGCTGGCTCGTCGCGGCGGTGGCGGCGGCGGCGGCGTCGCTTTGTTGTCGCCGACATTGCGTCGCTGCCGTGTGCAGTTCACCGATTCATGTTATCAATGGTGTTCTAATTCGGCAATTATTTTATTGTATTTATTTTGTTCTAAATTTGAATTTCTGTATTTTCGTACTAATTTTTTTATTTTAACCAACGTATATTGAACCGTGTTATCTGTTATTTCATTTTTTGTGATATGTATTACAACACCCGTTATATGTTTTTACAAAAAAAGTATCTAAGTATTCTATCAGTCAATCTAACTTTCATATTACAAGCATATGTGTAAAGAATACAAATAGTAAGTCAACTCAGCTACTAAGAGGAGCAATGCTGGCCGGTGACGGAACCCCACGTTACCATGCCGAGGACCGAGCGGAGATGTTCGCCGATTTCCTTAAAGCGCAGTTCCGACCGAATCCTGCCCAAAACGTGCAGCACGTAGCAGAGATCGAGAAGAGGCTCGAATTATACTTCGAGCAGCCGATAGCCACGACTGAGGACCCCATCGTCTGCTCCCCTGGTCAAATCCAGCGGATGATTCGCCAATCGCGAAGCTGTCGCGTCTATTCAACGGCATGCTCCGCACCGGACACGCATCCCACCGCATGGCGACTTGGAAGAGTCATCATGCTGCCCAAGCCGGGGAAGAACATCCTCGTACCGGGTAGCTATCGCCCCATCATGCTCCTCTCGACGACGTCGAAGCTGTTCAAGAAACTGCTACTACTCCACATGATGCCACACCTTCAGCCACGCGACGAACAGTTCGGATTTCGTGCCGAACACTTCACGACACACCAGCTGGCGAGGGTACTGCACGACATCGCGGTAGCGCACAACAAACAAGCACGAGCGGGTCCTTGCAGTCTTCCTCGACAAGGAGAAGTTGTCGACTGCGTCTGGCACGCCGGCCTATTGTACAAGCTGTTCACATCTACTACTCCCCGTCGAGTAGTGAAGATTGTGGCCAACTTCCTGCAGGACAGAC